AATTAGTTCCCAGACTCCCCCAACAAAGGATCATTTCTGCCTCGATTTAAAGACTCAGAAGACTAATTTGACGTTTTTATAGATTATGGGACTAAAATGATCCAGTGTGAATAGTTTTTGACAAATCACTCAATTTTGCTAATTCTGCAGATTGGATGCATACACTGTGGAGAGTATCTCCAGGAAGGCCATTCAGTGAAGGAAAAGCTTCCCTATCAAGAGATAGAACTCTATTGACTGCCTGTACCACAGATCATAGTCAGAAAATGGTCCTGAAACCAAACTGAACGTTCATATTAGGGACATTTATGCATGCCACACAATTCTTATATATTTACATATCAAACATCTAAATTTTCATATTAACATACATAACACTGAAATCTTTAATATCATATTAAAAGTATCATTACTACTTTTTTTTTAAAAGTAAAATGCACATTTTCAGGCATAGGTCTACAAAAGAATTGTGCGGTATGTATGTAAATTTCCTTTCTTATTTTCTCACCTCAGTAGCGTTTCTCACTTTCTTTGTTGACATATTCAGACTCTCTGCAATATTCTGCAGAAAAACCAAAGTAAATTGAAGAGTTTACAGTTTGTATGAACCAAAAAAAAAAACAATAATAACAGTAAAATAGAAATTTTCTTACATCAATAGATGGAGTGATTCCTTTCTCCTGCAGCCTGATTTTTGCATGGTGAATGGAGCTCAATCGTTCATGCAAATGAGTTGGTAATCTCAAGGTTCTCGAATTCTCAGCGAGAGTTCGAGAAACGCCCTGAAAAAGAGAGAGAACTGTAACTTTTTTTGCATCAAAGAATCTTCATTCAACACGAAAAATGTAATAAAAATCAAATTTTTATCATGATAATTTGATAGGAAATATAAAAATTTGAAATTTATGTGGCTTATAATCACCAGTGAAGTAAACCTGGCGGATCCACCAGTGTACCTAGGTTGAAATTTTTGCCGTTTTGGAGGAATAAAAATTAAAATTTTCTCATCATAATTTGATATGAAATATAAAAATTTGAAATTTACCAGGTTTATAATCAAATTTAACAAGACCTGGCAGATCCACCAGTATATAAAGATTAAAATTTTACATCCTTGGGAGGAATAAAAATCAAATTTTTATCACAATTAAGCACACCTGTCGGATCCACCAGTATACATAGGTTGAAATTTTGCAGCCTTTGGAGGAATCAAATTTCTCTATGCCGCGAAGTAATCCAATCAAACCACCCTGCAAAATCAAAATTTGAATCAATGAACACGTGATAATAGGAAAAATATCAGAGAAAACAGCTTGGAAGAAAGAAGAAACTATTAAATTGCAGATCTACCTGAATGAGGTCGGCCATGTCGGAGCCCATGTTATCATATTTTTGTGCAATGGACATGACAAGACGAACATTACTCATAGCAAGTTTCTCTGTTGCTAAAGAACATTCCAACAGCTTTGCACGCAGGCTTTTACAGGAGATTTTTAATGAAGAGGCGAGTTGTCTATCAGATGGTTCAAAACCCAACCTCTCCTTCAGTCTGAAATTCATATATTGTAAGAAAAAATTACAAATAAAGCTTACAATAGTAGTTGTGTGTGATTAGAGGACATCATAAAGGCCTAAAATTATATTTTATGGCATTTGCCTATATACCATCCGATTCCTATATATTTACACATGGAACACCTGAACTTTTTTTCTTCATATTTATACCACCCAATTTCATATCACATAAAAAATCTTCCAATTTCATACATGAATAGGGTGGTATGTATATAAACATTGAAGTTCATGTGTTGGCTCTTTAAATAAATAGGAATTGAGTGATATGCATGTAAATATTCCTTATATTTTATAAGTAATTGAGTGCAGCAATAATGAAAATTTTATGATGAATGTGCGACAAAACCAAGAAGAAAAAATTAAAGAATGATTTTGTTGGAGAAGAGCTCGGATTGACTTCAATCGAAGCTAATTAAAAAGAGTAAAGATAGATTTGGATGATTTGAACACGATATACTAAATAGTAGAAATTGGCTAATTAAATATGTAGATAAAACTTATTTTTGAATATTAGTAATGAAAAAGAGTGTGCCTAATATTGTAAGAACAGAATTTATTCAAAATGATTAGCGAATAATATGTTTAACATTTCAAACAGGAATGAATGAAAAATAATGATTTATAAGGCCAGTCCGAATAATGGGAACAAGAGTAACATTGATGAAAATGATAATAATGTTGTGAAAAACGATGAAAATAAAGTAAAATTAGAATGAGAAATTCGCAAACAGAAAAACATAGCGAAACACACAGATTTACGTGGTTCGGCAAAATGTCTATGTTCACGGAGCTGCAGAGGATTTTATTAGCTTTGAGGATTACACGTCGTCGACCACACCGACTATTACAAGAAATTGTTTCCCTCTCCCTGTCCGTCTCTCTTTCTCTCCTTCTTCTTATCTCTCTCTCTACCCGAGAGCCACCTAAAGAAGAAAACCGAGAAGAACCAACCAGAGAGCCTTGCGTTGCCTTCTTGTTCCGTAAGAAGGAGCACAGGAGATCTCACGCGAAGGGAGAGCTATATAGCTGAGATGAACTTCGTGCAGCTTTTAAAGCTTCTATTCGACCTATTAAAGGAATCCTGGAGAGCTGGGCAAGGCAAGCTGCCTTCATTTGCGAAAACGGGAGGGAACCTTTCCGTTTGTGTGACGAAATCAAGAGAGGCGAGAACTCAATAGGAAGAAGCAGTAAGGCATCCAACGAACGAAAGAATTAAATACATTTAATATCTTGCCAATGATACAGGACTTGTTCAAACATGGATGAAGTGAGTCCGACTCAACGTCGCCCAACAATTCTCCTTCTTGGAGACCAGAACACTGGCTGCATCGTCCTTTTCCGCAAACATGATATATTTCACCCCTTCACATTTGCAACTCAAAGCCTCTGTCTTCAAGCTAGAAAACCACATGAAGTTAAGCACAACATCGATTTCTCAAGAATAACACCTTTAGTCAACATATCAACATCAACATAGTTTTGTACCTCTAAGCTCGTTCTTGGGTTACTCATGTTTTTGCTTATAAATCCCACTGCATAGGCAATATCTTGTCTCTACTGAAAGCCCTTTTCAACAAGTTTAGTTTTGTACTTCTTCCTGTCATCATGCTGAGGCTTCACCCAGTACATCCACTTGTTGTGCAATGCATTCTTCCCTGGTGGAAGTTCTTTCAGTTCCCAAGTCTGATTCTCTGGCAGAGAATACATCTCGTCTTTCATGGCAAGCTCTCACTTGCTCGAATTTTCATCTTGCAAGATTTCTTCATAACTTTGTAATTCTCCGTCATTTGTCAACAGAATGCAATTCAAGGTTGGTGAGTAACGCTGAAGAAAATGTCTGTTTCCAACTGACCTATGAAATGTAGCTGTAGGGGCGCACGACTCTGAAGCTGACTGCGGAACAATAAAAATGTATGCCCATGACCCACTCTCCTCATCACTCAACAAACCTTACCTTTATATTGTGGTCATCAATGGTTGTGGCATAGTAACGAGAGCCTCCAAGGGATGTCACTGGAGAAGGTCCTCACATATTTGTGTGTACACAATCCAGTTTTGTTGCCTTTGCGCTCCACCACTTTCCAAGAAACTTACATTCTTCTAATTCTCCATAATGCAACTCTCAGACATGCTGAAATCAACTAACTTCAATTCTGGCAGATTGACTCTGAGCTGACGTTCTCTCATGCCCCTCTGACTCATGTGACCAAGTCTGAGTAAACCTGTAGTCATATATAGAGTGTCAATTTTCTTACCCTGCCAGTGCCCCTTTTGTAACCTTCCAGAAGCTATCTGAGAACACTATTATATGACCACTCTCATTGAGTTGCTCAATAGAAATGAGATTTTATTCAACTCAGGAACGTGTCTAACCTTTTGCAAAATCTATTTGCTCTTATTATGGAGTGCAATATCAACGTCTTCCATCCCATCACATCCAGAGTTTTTCCATCAGCCAGATACACCTTCCCAAAGTCACCTGCAACATAATTTCACATTAATTAGTTGTGGGAAGATGTATAGAAGGAAGCTATGGAAAGAAGCCTCTGAATCTAGTATCCAATCATCAATAGAACTGTGAATTTCTAGCAATAGTGCATCCAATAACTTATTTTCGAATATTAGTAATGAAAAAGAGTGCGCCTAATATTATAAGAATAGAATTTATTCAAAAATGATTAGCGAATAACAGGTTTAACATTTCAAACAGGAATGAATGAAAAAAAATGATTTATAAGGCCAGTCCGAATAATGGGAACAAGAGTAACATTGATGAAAATGATAATAATGTTGTGAAAAACGATGACAATAAAACAAAATTAGAATGAGAAATTAGCAAACAGAAAAACATAGCGAAATACACAGATTTACGTGGTTCGGCAAAATGCCTACGTTCACGGAGCTGCAGAGGATTTTATTAGCTTTGAGGATTACATGTCGTCGACCACGCCGACTATTACAAGAAATTGTTTCCCTCTCCCTCTGTCCGTCTCTCTTTCTCTCCTTCTTCTTATCTCTCTCTCTACCCGAGAGCCACCTAAAGAAGAAAATCGAGAAGAACCAACCAGAGAGCCTTGCGTTGCCTTCTTGTTCCGTAAGAAGGAGCACAGGAGATCTCACGCGAAGGGAGAGCTATATAGCTCAGATGAACTTCGTGCAGCTTTTAAAGCTTCTATTCGACCTATTAAAGGAATCCTGGAGAGCTGGGCAAGGCAAGCTGCCTTCATTTGCGAAAACGGGAGGGAACCTTTCCGTTTGTGTGACGAAATCAAGAGAGGCGAGAACTCAATAGGAAGAAGCAGTAAGGCATCCAACGAACGAAAGAATTAAATACATTTAATATCTTGCCAATGATACAGGACTTGTTCAAACATGGATGAAGTGAGTCCGACTCAACGTCGCCCAACAATTCTCCTTCTTGGAGACCAGAACACTGGCTGCATCGTCCTTTTCCGCAAACATGATATATTTCACCTTTGCAACTCAAAGTCTCTGTCTTCAAGCTAGAAAACCACCTGAAGTTAAGCACAACATCGGTTTCTCAAGAATAACACCTTTAGTCAACATATCAACATCAACATAGTTTTGTACATCTAAGCTCTTTCTTGGGTTACTCATGTTTTTGCTTATAAATCCCACTGCATAGGCAATATCTTGTCTCTACTGAAAGCCCTTTTCAACAAGTCTAGTTTTGTACCTCTTACTGTCATCATGCTCAGACTTCACCCAGTACATCCACTTGTTGTGCAATGCATTATTCCCTGGTGGAAGTTCTTTCAATTCCCAAGTCCGATTCTCTGGCAGAGAATACATCTCGTCTTTCATGGCAAGCTCTCACTTGCTCGAATTTTCATCTTGCAAGATTTCTTCATAACTTTGTAATTCTCCATCATTTGTCAACAGAATGTAGTTCAAGGTTGGTGAGTAACGCTGAGGAGAATGTCTGTTTCCAACTGACCTACGAAATGTAGCTGTAGGGGCGCACGACTCTAAAGCTGACTGCGGAACAATAAAAATGTACGCCCATGACCCACTCTCCTCATCACTCAACAAACCTTACCTTTATATTGTGGTCATCAATGGTTGTGGCATAGTAACGAGAGCCTCCAAGGGATGTCACTGGAGAAGGTCCTCACATATTTGTGTGTACACGATCCAGTTTTGTTGCTTTTGCGCTCCACCACTTTCCAAGAAACTTACATTCTTCTACTTCTCCATAATGCAACTCTCAGACATGCTGAGATCAACTAACTTCAGCTCTGGCAGATTGACTCTGAGCTGAAGTTCTCTCATGCCCCTCTGACTCATGTGACCAAGTCTGAGTAAACCTGTAATCATATATAGTGTGTCAATTTTCTTACCCTGCCAGTGCCCCTTTTGTAACCTTCCAGAAGCTATCTGAGAACACTATTATATGATCACTCTTATTGAGCTGCTCAACAGAAATGAGGTTTTATTCAACTCAGGAATGTGTCTAACCTTTTACAAAATCTATTTGCTCTTATTATGGAGTGCAATATCAACGTCTTCCATCCCATCACATCCAGAGCTTTTTCATCAGCTAGATACACCTTCCCAAAGTCACCTGCAACATAGTTCCACATTAACTCTCGGGGAGAAGATGTATGGAAAGAAGCCTCTGAATCTAGTATCCAATCATCAATAGAACTGTGAATTTCTAGCAATAGTGCATCCTGTACTTCTTCAGTTACAACATTAGCGCTATCATCCTCTGCCTTTTTCGGATTTTTGCAGTTCATTTTTATGTGGCCAACTTTTTCCTAATTCCAGTAGGTTGTCTGCTGACCCGACTTTGACTTATTCTTGCCTCTGTGCTTTGATATTGATCTTCCTCTGTTTTATTTTCTGTCATCTGATCTCCCTCTAGAATCTACATTCAGTGCCGAACTCAAACCCGAGCTCTCGCCAAACTTTTTTCTGCGCACCTCCCCAGTCAAAATTAAATCACAAATATCATCGTATTTCAATGTAAATTTACCTGCAAAATTGTTAATTGTCATCTTCATGTCTTCCCAACTATTTGATAATGAAACCAACAATATCAGCGCATGTATCTCATCGTCAAAATCAATTTCAACAGAAGACAATTGATTTGTAATGGTATTGAAATCATTTAGATGTTGAGCGACAGACATAACTTCTGTCATCTTTAAGTTGAATAATTTTTTCATCAAGTGCACTTTGTTATTCGTCGATGGCTTTTCATACATACCTGACAAAGCTTCAATGAGATTTACAGTACTATTTTCCTTGATAATATTGTGGGCAACAGATCTAGATAGGGTTAATTGAATAACCCCCAAAACTTGTCGATCCAACAAATTCCATTCAATCTCGTTCATTTTTTCCGGTTGTTTTTCTAGTACAGTAGGTGAAGTTTCTTCTCATAGAAGTAGACATCTATCTACATCCTCCAGTAATCAAAATCTGTGTCATTAAACTTCTCGATCCTCAATGTCATCACCTCATCTCCAGTCATCGCTTTCCTCAAATCCAAGTCAAGGCTCTGATACCAATTGTTGTGAAAAACGGCGACAATAAAACAAAATTGAAACGAGAAATTTGCAAACAAAAAAACACAGCGGACCACACATATTTATGTGGTTTTGTAAATTCCCTACATTTACGGAGCTGCAAAGGATTTTATAGCTTTCAGGATTGCAAGTCGTCAACCACATCGACTATTACAAGAAACTCTTTCTGTACCCCTTTGTCTCTCTCTCTCTCTCTCCTTCTCCTTATCTCTCTCTCTCTCCCTCTACCTGAGAGCCACCCAAAGAAGAAAACCAAGGAGAAGAACTAACCGAAGAGCCATTTCAACGGTTTTGTAATGGTACATATCTAACCCCTGAACTTTGATATCTACATCTATAACTCTTTGGTGTTATAAAACTATGAATTGCGTTGCCTTCTTGTTCCGTAAAAAGGAGCACCGGAGAACTCACGCAAAGGGAGAGCTATATAGCTGAGATGAACTTTTTGCAGTTTTTAAATTTTCTATTCAGCCCATCAAAGAAATCCCTGGAGAGCTGAGCAAGGCAAGCTGCCTTAATTCGCGAAAATGGGAGGGAGCCTTTACTTCTGTGTTATGAAATCAAGAGAGGCGAGAACTCGATAGGAAGAAGTGGTAAGGCATCCAACGAAGGAAAGAATTAAATACATTTAATATCTTGCCAACGATACAAGAATTGTCCAAACATGGATAAAGTGAGTTGGGCCCCACATCGCCCAACAAATAATAGTAATAATAATCAAATCATTTAAGAAGCTATACATTAGGAATGCATTGACACTAATTTCTAGGAGATCCAGCAAATTAAAAGATAGAAATGTACAAATAAGGGGGCCCACGGGCGGGAGGTCAAAAGACCCGCTAACTTGATCAGATGAAATTCTCCGTATCGGGGTTGGAAGCCGACTGGGTGTAGGCCATCCGAACCAGGGACCAAGTCCAATCGAGCCGAGCTGAGATATTAATTTGTCTATCGCCACAACCCGACTCAAGGTACAAGTTCAATATCATCAACAGTTTCATGGACACCCCTGAGATTACTCATAAGGGATCAAGATGTGGCAATAACATAACCCATGAGCTTCCCGAAGGACCTAATCATCAAGGAATGAGATATTTCTTGGATTACGGTGATTCACCATCTACTCGATAATATAGTTTCATTCCGCCAATAAGAGCTCATCAATCAGGTATCAATGGTTGATAGTCAGACCAGCAACCCTGATTCAACACACTCCGACGAGCTGGTCTTGCTGAACGAAGAACCATTGATTTAAGCTGAACCGAGTTAGAGGGTAGCTGAGTTGTAGGCCCATACTGCAAAATACCTAAAATACCTTGTAACGCTCACATTAAAGTGGGGGCAAACAAGTAAGTTTGCATATTGTATTCCCTTCTCCATAAATAGAAGAATTGTTTTATGAGAAATGACTAATCTATAATACTGATTACTATTTATTATTGTACATCTCTCTATCTCTCTTTATCTCTTGTCTCAAGCTCTATTCCTTGAGTGTAATTCAAGATTCAACATAATCAAAAGAGAATTTAAAGAATTTAAAAATGAAACAAATATTAGATTAACAACATGTACATTACCACTAAAATCATAAAGAAAATAGTTTTCACGAAGGCTCCATAGAAAATAGTACTATATCAGTCCATTGTCATAATAATAACACTCTACATTGGCCAGCAAGCATAAGAGAAAAAAGTTAAATGTTCCTACCATGGGTGGTGAGGCACGTAGGTAATATTATTTTATCTCTACCATTACAAAACCGTTGAAATGGCATTAAAAGAATAAAAATTTACATAAATGAAAATAATTCTTATGTATTACATATCTAACCCCTGAACTTTGATATTTACATCTATAACTCTTTGGTGTTATAAAACTATGAATGAAAATACAAATTTTACTCTTAAAAAGTTATTAATAGTAATGTTTTTTTACAAAATGTTAAGGATTTGAGTGTTATGCATGGAAATATGAAAATTAGATGTTAGATATGTTAATGTTTAAGAATTGTGTGGTGGTACTAATTATGTGAATGCCCTCACAAACAAAAGGGGTGAGGGGGGGCATTTAAATATATACCGCCCAATCCCCATGTATGTACATACCAATGGAAAAGATTTAGCCTTTATATATGCCAAATGTTAGCCACATAAGTTCTGCTATCTTATTATATCTCAGTTTCCGTATGTTTTAAACTAAATCTTCTATTTATCCAATATAAAAAAAAAATTTAAGAGAAGTTCACTAAATTCATTTAAATCAGAGCAGAAATGCTGAAACTTTCAATCTATGAAGACCAATCTCATCGATCATTCTGATTATTTGATGCCGATACCACCAATAACAGCCAAATGAAAAGAATCAAAAGAACAGTTTTTAACAAACAATTTCATAAGTACAACTCCTAAGCAAGAAACAAGTTATAAAACATTCTGCAACTAAGAAAAGCAAAGAAGTTATTACAGTAAAAACTATTAAGTAAATATGAAAGTTTAGATGTTCCATGTGTAAATACATCAGAATTCTGTCCCCCTTTTTATCATCTTCATCGTTTCAGATGAAGGAAGAAGAAGAAGAAGAATACCTGACCACATGCGCTGGATGAGCAGAGAAAGATTGGATTTTGAGATTTCCAATGGAGAAGAAAGCGCTTCTGGGCTTTTTTTTCTTTCTTTTTTTATAAAAACCTTAATTTCTCTGTATTTTTTCTACTATTTTTTTTTTAACAGAGAGAAAAGGAGCTATTTTTCTTCGTCTTGTTAGAGGAGGAGGAGAGGGTGGGAAGATATGGAAGGGGAGGAGACTATTGGTTGGAGGAGATATCATGTTGCGCCTTATGTGGTGATTTTGGGGCGTGTGGTTTCTGTGGGCCCACCATCATTCAGCCGGTGAGAATGTAAGGATGAGATGGCTAGGCGTGTAAACGAACCGAACACGAACGAATAAAGCTTGTGTTCGTGTTCGCTTTATTTAAAATTTAGTTTGTTTGAAATAAGCTCGTGTTCGTTTCTTAACGAACGAACCGAACACAAGTTGTTCGCGAACGACGAGCCAGTTTGACATCCCTAATATCAATATATAAAAATAATATTATATATTAATTATATAACTTATATTATATAAATATTCAATATTTATATTAGTATATTACTGCTATAGTATATTAATATATTATTATTATTGTAAACTTCCTCCTCCTCCTCTCCGCTCTCCGTTGCTCCGCCGAGATCCCAGATGGAGCAACCCCCGCCTTCCTCTCAGTACTAGTTGCAGCACTCCTCACATGTCGGAATGAGAGCTCCCATTGCTTCTCCAACATGGATTTCTGCAACAAGATTAGGGCTTCGAGGGAAGATTCGATGTCACCGCCGTGATCCTCGACGGCACCGCCGCCGGAGATGTCGAACGAGTTATGAGCGGCGGAGGGGGCGTAAGTATCGACATGTGTCATAAGAGCTTTGATGGGTTTTGATTGTCTGTGTGCTGAAGCTTCCGTGCAAAAATTTGATGACTTTTGAGCAAATATAATGGCTATATTTGAAGTTGTTGATGGCCGAACAGTTTTATGATCAGAAAAAATGTTTTTTTCTGCAAAATCTGAGGAATAAAAAGAGCTTCTTGGAAACCTTTTTCCGGCAGCCAGACCTACAACTGCGGCCATCACCATCTTGCATCAAGCAGCTTTAATAACAAAAAACACAGATTTGTTAGTGAAATTTCAATGAAATTAGATTTTATTGCAAGCAAGGTAAAAAATTACAGTTCTTTTAAGAATCATTTAAATGGAACATGGAAACGATTTAGCCTTTATATATGCTAAATGTTAGCCACATAAGTCCTGCTATCTTATTAAATCTCAGTTTCCGTATGTTTTAAACTAAATCTTTTATTTATCCAATATAAAAAAAATTAAAGAGAAGTTCACTAAACTCATTTAAATAAAAAAGGAAAAACAACAACAAGAGCAGAAATGCTGAAACTTTCAATCTATGAAGACCAATCTCATCGATCATTCTGATTATTTGATGCCGATACCACCAATAACAGCCAAATGAAAAGAATCAAAAGAACAGTTTTTAACAAACAATTTCATAAGTACAACTCCTAAGCAAGAAACAAGTTATAAAACATTCTGCAACTAAGAAAAGCAAAGAAGTTATTACAGTAAAAACTATTAAGTAAATATGAAAGTTTAGATGTTCCATGTGTAAATACATCAGAATTCTGTCCCCCTTTTTATCATCTTCATCGTTTCAGATGAAGGAAGAAGAAGAAGAAGAATACCTGACCACATGCGCTGGATGAGCAGAGAAAGATTGGATTTTGAGATTTCCAATGGAGAAGAAAGCGCTTCTGGGCTTTTTTTTCTTTCTTTTTTTATAAAAACCTTAATTTCTCTGTATTTTTTCTACTATTTTTTTTTTAACAGAGAGAAAAGGAGCTATTTTTCTTCGTCTTGTTAGAGGAGGAGGAGAGGGTGGGAAGATATGGAAGGGGAGGAGACTATTGGTTGGAGGAGATATCATGTTGCGCCTTATGTGGTGATTTTGGGGCGTGTGGTTTCTGTGGGCCCACCATCATTCAGCCGGTGAGAATCTAAGGATGAGATGGCTAGGCGTGTAAACAAACCGAACACGAACGAACAAAGCTTGTGTTCGTGTTCGCTTTATTTAAAATTTAGTTTGTTTGAAATAAGCTCGTGTTCGTTTCTTAACGAACGAAGTATTATTATTTTATTATATATTATAATTTATAAAATTTAATGTTTTAAAATATAATAAATTTTTTATATATAATTATTTTATATTATTTTATATTTCAAACAATAACGATTCGAACACGAACGAACGCATCACTGTTCGTGTTTGGTTTGTTTAACTAACCGAACGAAAAAAATTTGTTCGCGTTTGTCTCGTTTACTTATCGAACGAATCGAACGTGAACTCATTGACGAACCGAACACGAACTGTTCGCGAACAACGAGCTTTTTTGACAGCCCTAGAGATGGCTTCATTTGTTTTTTTTTTTTTGCCACAGAATTTCTTGAAGGAGTTTTTACATATCTAGCACTCCAAATTTTGATATTTACGGATTTCACCCCTCTTGTTAAATATTACTAGCCACAGAAAGTTAATTGCAGGTAACACCAAAAAAGGCATCCCATCAATCCTGTGTTAATTTTAGTTTCTCCCTCTTCATTCACAAGACCTAATCTCGCCCTCATTATTACGTCCGTCGTCTGGACGCCGAGCTGCGTCAAGGCGACGGTCGTGATACAGTGGAGGTCTGATCTATTGCTCATGAGGATCAAGAGAAAAAAAACATTTACTAGTACTTATAGAACTTTTGCTTTTAGAAGAATATCATTTGAATTATGTATTGCCTATGTAACTTTTCAAAGATATATGATGTCAATTTTCTATAATCTAATTGAAAATGGAATTGAAATTTTTATGGATTATTTCTCAGTATTTAAAACTTCTTTTAATTTATGTTTAGATCATTTAGGAAGAGTTATGAAGCGTTGTGAAGAAATAAATTTTGTTCTCAACTGTGAAAATTGTAAATATATGGTTGCATGACGAATAGTATTAGGGCATAAAATTTCTGAAAAAGTCATAAAAAACTCTCCAGAGCTCCATCATTCCTTCCATGTCAAATCCATTATCCCAAGGACAAAATCCACCATTAATTGAGCTTACCCGAACCCGGACACATTCGAATTTCATTACATTTGACTCAGTTTCACCATCCATCACTTCCATTAACTTCTCTGAGCAATAAATCCCACTTCCCTAATCAATTGTGCAAACTCTAAGCCCTCTAGATCATTGCTTAATTGAGGAGCACATGGGTTTGATCAACTTCATAAACTGAGGCTTTGGGACTTCAAATTGGGACTTGAAGCATACTCATTGGATCGTTATAAAGTTGATACAACAATTGGATTGAGAAGATCACCACCAAATTGAGGTACCTTTCTATTTTTCTTAGTTCACTTTGGTTTTCGGCCTTTGCGAAATAAACATGCTTGCTAAATGATCTTTTTTGTTAGATAGATAGGTCTTAATGCGATGAACGTGTAGAGCCGTAGATTTTTTAAATCCATAGAGAAATGAAGTAGATCGAGCAGTTTCCTTTATATGGACTGTGCTCGATTCTTAGCCCTTCATGAACAATGAACTGATACCATCCATTTCTTATTTAGAAAAATGGGTGACTCGGATTAACGTGGGATTGTGTGTCATTGTTCGATTCACAAACGGTATTGTGGAAAGGGAGTTGATGAGTAGGTTGTTACGGCCAAGGCAGAGTGGGATTATGTGTCATTGACATACGGTATTGTGGAGAGGGAGTTGATGAGTAGGTTGTTACGGCCAAGGCAGTGAATCAGAGCGAGACACATGGAAAGGGAGGATGATGAGGCAGCTGACACGGCGGGCCTATAAAAAAAATTACTTAATTATTCTGAATTAATAAAATCCATTTAATTCCACATAACTTTAAAAATCATAGGAAATTAAAAAATGATAAAAATACAAAAATAAATGTATTGGATTCGAGAAAACTAAGAAAATTTAATAAAAATAAAATCAGAAGATAATAACATTAAATAAATTTTAAATGATTTTTAAACCATTAGAACAAATATTAATTCATAAAATTTAAAATATAAATCAAAATAAAATGAAATTACATCTGATTGAACCTCTTGACCATATGATACCTCTGTAATTTTTTTCATAAATAGATATAAATTTTGATTACTTAAATGAAGTTTCCTCGTGCTTTTGCATTTATCGAAAAAAAATAATTCTAGAAATTAAAATATATTTTGAAAAAAATATAGATTAACCTCTGAAATATTAAATGGCCTATGGGTGATCACTTTATTCAATTAGACATTAATCTTGATTATTACATGATAGTTTATTAAATTTTCTTAATAAATGTATATTTGTAAATATTATATTTATAGTTTAAGACCTCTTTTATTTAACATTGGATTATATTAGGGGTTAAATGAGTAAAAACTATGCTGAAACATTGATGGGAAGAATGAAACATGATGCGTTAGTTAGAACTTTAATCAAATCCATAAAACATGCAAACAGTTATTAAGATTAATTAGTAAATTGTTAAGAATTTGAAACCTTAAAGTGCTTGGATGATTAATTGGTGGGCAATACTGTTTGAAATTGATTAACTTACTAATTAAGATCTCCCACCACAATTTAAATGGTTTTGCATAATAATCTACTTGAAAATTATCAAAATTTATAAAATTATGAAATCATGTTTAAGGGCTAAAATAAACAAATAAAAATGATTAAGTTGAATAATCTAATTGGAATCATACTTAAAATCATAAATGAATAAATTTCAATAAAATTGAGATTAGTTTGAAAGTAAGCATTGGTGAGCATGTAGTTTTCCCTTAAATTTACAAATTTACTTTTTCTTAACTTTAATTCATTAAAACAAAATTCAATTGAATAAAAATTATTGAACTTTATGGAATAACTTGAACTTTATAAGTAAATAATATACTAATTGATAGATAGATAGATAGATAAGTATATATATATATAGTGAATTTTGATAGTTTTTAAAGCAATTTAGGATATTTTTTTTATTTTCTTCAAAATTGTAAAATTGCCTTTATTACCTTAACAACTTAAAAATAAACTATATATAATTCAAAATCACTAAAATTTAAAATGGAACTCTTAAATGGAACATAAATAACAAAACACTATAAAAATTTATAAATTTAATGTTGGTTTTGAGGTAGATTTATAAGTTTCTCTGAATATACAAAAAAAAAAAAAAAAAAAAAAAAAAAAAAATTTATTTTCCCATTACATAATAACCACTTAGTAAATGAAAGAAGTAGAAGTAATGAAACTCAATTAATCGAACCAAATTGTTAATCAACTGAAGATAAATCATTAAAAATATTTCCAACGTAGGCAGAAGTGGTTGAAATATAAATAAGATATTTAAAAATATAAATTTCTTAGTAAAATATGAATAATTTTTCTTATAGAACTCCAAAATAAATGAAGTCTTCACCCATAGGTCAATTGAATTGAAAGAAGTAATAAAATAAAAAATTTTGCTTTGATTCATTACTCTCTTAATTATTTTCTATTAATAAACCTATTAATAAGTCAAATAATTCATGAAAAATCTAAAATGAACTTGAAATGATTTAGAAAATTATGAGATTGTTTGGAATCATACTTCAAACATTTAAGTGAAATTTAAAGTACTTTGGAGACCACTTAACTTTATTATGAATTTTTGAATAAAATCACCTTCAAAATTAAGATAAATCTAACAAATACAATAAAATGCAAAAATACATAAAATTTTAACATAAAGCTTTTCAACTTAATATTTATTTATTACATTATTTTGAAATTAGGTAAGTCAAAATAATTTAAACCTTAAAAATCACAAAATTTTCAACAAAATAGTTCATAAGATTACAGAAAAACAACGAAAAAATCTAAAAGTATAATGATTTGAGTTTATAAGAACCATATTCACTTCCCCAAGTGATTAATGGATTCTTACAAATTTTAATGATGTTAAACCTTGATATATGTCTTCAATAAAGCATATAAATGAGCTTAATTAAAAAAATATATACTAATCATAAAAATATAATAACAATAAAAATTAATAAAAAAAAATAATAAACAATAATAATTAATCCTTTAGGTTTACAAAGGCTTCTTCGACGACGTAAAACAAAAGTTTTCCGATCTAAACAGATTTAACTACCTCTTTAAGAAAAGTAAATCCAAAACTAACAATAATAACAGGATGATGGAACCATGAGATATTGACCAGTGTAGCATAAAATAAAATTTAATTAGTTTTCAATAGTCACTTCTGTCATAATAAACATTTTATAAGAACTCTAACCTAATTTTGTTTCGCAAGGCTACTATAAGTAAATAATAAGAACCTATGATAAACCTTTTAAGGCATGATTTTCTTCTTTTCTTGAGTCATTTTCTTTATAGACTTTGGTGGTGTTGTGGCTAGTCAATTATCTGCCTCTCATATATCTAAAAGAAAATGAAACATGAAACGAATGATGAACCTCAAATAAAACCCAACGTTTTCTCAGATGGTGTTGATTAATAAGTCATTACCTTTGTTTAGAATGACTTAAATCATCACACACTCTTAGGCTTTTGCATGATTGTATATCATGCAATATAAAAACCTATCTTTTAGGATTCTGATGTAGTTTGTCTAATACGAGGCTTTTGCATGTTTCTATATTGTGCAATATAAGTTCTAAATTTCTATATAAATTACATGATCGAAACATCATTCATTTAAAAGAATAATAATAAAATACAGAAAAAAAAAACAAGAGACAAAACAATGCTTTCTATAATAAAATCAAATGCAATAAACAAAACCAAAGCGCATGACAAGAATGCATCCGAAGCAGCAGCCACCAA